ACGCTTGGCTCCCGGTGGAAATTGGTTGAAATAAATAAAATACTTTAAAGAAAATAGAGAAGGTTAGTGGAAGACCGTACAGATTCGTCACAAATTGTATTTTTGATAAGACACATTTTATGATATTTGATTCGTATAAGATTTCAATTTAAATGTTTTAATTTAATTACTATGATTTTATTTGCTTGAAATTAATAAATAAAATATCTTAATTTCTTTGTCTTGCCCGTTATTAGGTAATTCAAGAGCAAAATTAAATGCATAATTATATGTGTTAAAAATGGTGTAATAGTAAACGGCTCATCACAGTTACACATTCTGCTTTTTCCCCAAAATAAATCTGGTTAGTAAATTACACATAAGCAACGAGTTCGATTCGTGGTGCTACTAAAAACTTCTCGTGTAGAGGGGTGATGCACGAAAAACCTGTTAGAGTTCAAAGTCCTCCTGAAGGTCTGATATGGAAGTTTAATGAAGTTTTGTTCAGATCAAGTGTCGTTTTTGTCATTTGACCGGCTCAAAATTACAAGGTCAGTCACCACTAGTCCACAAGCTGTACTGAAATGCGATGTTAATAGGTAAGCAGGTAATCTATATATATATAAAGGAATATTTGTATATATCACTTCATTCCAACACCGTTCAACCGATCACTGTGAAACTAGGTATTTGTGGTTTTGCAAACTTCTCAATGTTTAAGATTCTATTTTGTAAACACATTTATAATTTTCTTTCCGATTTTTTACCGAGACTCATGGAATCCATGGGTATGCCTTGTGGAGCCCCAAGGTTCCGTGAAACACAGTTTGAAGAACACTGGTATAAAACATAAGCAATGAAACAAAACAAAAAAGTAATATTTATAATCAATTTTCTCTAATATAGATGTTCTTGCTTACGTTTATAGAAACATGGTACCCAAACTAAATATATGTCCTCATTTGGGAATTTCGAAATCTAAATTTTGCGAAATATATTCTGAGACTGCATTAAATATTATAATAACTACAGATGGTTCTAAATTCATTTTTTCCTCTCTTACACTTTTTAAACAAAAAAAAATACTATAAATGAATTATATTTAGAATTTATTAGCTTACCATTCGTCTAAACCTGCAATACTCAACGCGCGGCCCGAGGACCGCATGCGCTGAAAAATTCATTTATTTGTGAAAATGTAATTGGAAATTCTTTGTTAAAGAATCAAATATATCGATTTAGCTTTTTGCTGTCGATGCCGTATGAGTGCAAATTTTTTCTAATTAGTGATAATAGACAACAGTGGAGTAGCGACCATTTTATGAGTGGGACTAATTTTGAACTATCTTTCATATGTCGCAAGCGAAAAATATTCGAAGAAAATAGATTGTTTCAAGACGATTGAAAAGAGGACTATTTTGTAGTGAAAAACAAACATGGTTCAATAATTGTTCGATCTGTCACGGAAGTGTATTTAAAAAATACCAATAAACAGGAATCGTTCCATGACACTTTTCCTCAAAGATTTCTTTCAAGAGATGATAAGTAGGCTTTCTTAAATAATCTTTACAACAGCAAAAAAAGTGTTTTGTCAGTGATAATGTCACAGCGGTAACAAAGATACCCTATGAAATTTGCTATATCATTGGTAATCATATGAAACCGTTTACTGATGCAGAATTTATGAAAGAGTGATTCTTAAATGCTTCCAATGAAGAAAAATTCATTGAAATAAAAATATAAAAATAATAATTAAAAAAGACCAAATAAGAGTTTTAATATTTTGATCAATTTTCACATTTTAAATGTTTTATGTTACGTTGGTCTTAAGGCCCCCCCCCCATTAATCCTCATTTTGCGTCCTGCGTGAAACAGCCATCCTATGTATGCGGCCCGCATGAAATAGCTAACATATGTATACAGCCCGGCACCAAAAAAGGGTTGAGTACCCCTGGTCTAAACTGTACCTCCTATTGGCAACACTGTTTAACAGCTATAGCATCCAAATGTAACACTAAACTTCGTCCATGAACTTTAAATTATGATTCCATTAGAAATAACGGAAAACTACTGAGTGAACTCGATATATATATCACAAACACAAAAGACTGGGTGGTATTAAATTTAGACAACTGCAATTATATGGCTGTCTTTTTGTCAGTTTTCTGACACACGTCTTAGAACTCCTGTGCAAACTGAGAGTTTATATTTAAAGTATAATATTTTTATGAGCTTTAGATTATTAATGTCACTTTCGATCCTTTGAAAGTCATTTTCCTTTTTTTTTCAAAGATTTGTCATGTAAAGAAATACATTACGATAGATCTATTTAATATCATTTTCCATGACCTTTGCACATACAGTAAAAATATACTTTTATAAAAATAAATATAATCAATAATAGCAAAACATATGACTAAAAAAAATTAAAAAAGCTTCATTTTTAAATATAGATCTAAAATATAAAAAATTATTATCAAAAAAGAAAATATTTTAAGATATGGAATATTTTATTATTAATGCACTTAAAAAAGGAATATTCAAATTTAATTTTAGTATTTTTCAGTATTTTTCGATATAGTTGCAACTTTTTCATTCAGTGATTTTTTATTTGCTTCAATAAATATCCAGAAAATCGTTTAAATGAACTTTTTCATGTATGAAAAAAGGGAACGGAAGAAGTTTTAATAGCTTGCTGATAGATAGTATTATTCAGAATTAAAATAATTACTCATAAAAATATGTAAAACACTTCTACTCATAGATTTCCTAACTTACTTATTTTTCATTTATTACATCTTCTATAGCATAAAAATATAAAGATTTTAAAAATAATGCATAAAGATATAATTAATAATTTAAATTTTGAAACACAGTGTACTTATTTATATTTTATGTTAATTTTTCTTGTTATGCACTTTCTTTTTAATTTGCAACATTTTTTTAAATTTTTTTTTTGTTTATTATTTTTTTTACTCTTAATGAATTAAAAACATTTGTTGTGACTCGAATATTTTTTTTGCTATTTTAATACGTTCTCATTCAATAATTAGTTACATTTTCGATTGAATTAATTAATATCAATACATTTTACCATATTTATATTATTATTTGAACAACTCATAAGAAAAACCTTTAGGAAATACATATGGATATAAAAACACATGAAAAGCACGTTTACAAAAGATAGATTATAAATGGGAAGTGTACCTGAAAAAAAAACATCGACTACATTACTTTCAATTAACTTATAATTTAAAAACATTGTTGTTTTTGAAAATTTGAATTCTTAAACATTCACAAAGTTTGGAACCTTATTTACGCTTGTGACTTTTCTTTTTAAATTATCTTCAGCATTATGATTTTTTTTTAATTATAGAGAAATAAATTTTGCTTTGCATCACATAAAATACCATTGTCTTTATAAATAAACTACTCATTAATTGAGAAAAAGTTTCGTAGTATTGTTCCTGCTATAAATATACAGTAAAATACTTTTAATGCGGAAACGCTTAAGGAGAAATATTGGTTAACATGTCATAAGACAACGGTCCGGACAAATTACTATGTATTTTCATCCATTTTTTTTTCTCAACACGATGCAATACAGGCCTTACAACGCCTACGCATGCTGAATATCAAATTATCAATCTGATCTTGGGGAATATTACATCACTCATCAAGCAATGCCCTCCGAAGTTCCGGTAGACTGGTGGCAGGGGGTTGACGGGCTGCAATTTGTCGACCAAGGATATCCCACACATGCTCTATTGGATTCAAGTCCGATGAGTATGCTGGCCAATCCATACGAGTGATATCCTCCGATTGAAGGCATTCGTCTACAATGTTTGCACGGTGAGGACGGGCGTTGTTATCCATAAACAGAAATTCAGCACCCATGGCGCCCCGAAACAAACATACATGTTGTTCCAGAATGTCATTTTGATAGATGTGGCCCGTCATCGTTACACTCTGAACATGCAGGTCAGTTCTGGAACCAAGAACAATTCCTTCCCAAACGAGCCATCCTGCACCACCGTAACGGTGTCGTTCCATGGTGTTCTCTTGATGGTAAAGGTTACCTGGTGCTCTCCATATGAAAGTCCGGCGAGAATCAGACTGCAAACTAAACCTGGACGCATCGGAAAACATCACACAAGACCACTGTTGTGGTGTCCACAATGCATGCTCTCTACTCCAGGTTAATCGCAGGCGACAGTGAGTTGCGGTAAGAGGAACACTTCTGACAGGCCTACTTGCATATAGACCAATGTGCCCTAAGCGTCTGTACATGGTCTCCCTTCAAACTGTCGTACCGGTAGCTGAAGAGAGCTGACGAGATAGGTCTGATGCTGTGCTCCGTCTGTTTCTTTTGGCAGTAACTGCCAAATATCGGTCCTCATTCGGCGTTGTAATTCGGGGGCGACCTGTGCTGTAACATCTACTCACATTACCATCATCTTGGAATCGTTGCCAAAGCATGGATATAACACTCTGGGCGATTCCAAGTTCCTCGGATTCTTCTAGCTGGGTACGTCCGCATTCCAGTCGTCCGATAATTCTACCACGTAAAAAATCATCCAAATGCTTCCTTTGTGCCATAACTATGTGGTTATTGCACTGAAAGGCTTTTAAAGCGCTTGTGAACAATTTTACTTCTTTGCCACCATTCCTTATATACCTCTCTCTTACACTCTCGTCATTGCGACGTACTATCCGCGCCATCTGATGGTTTCCTGTAATTTGCATATTCTTATTCAAGATGTGTGTGATAATTCTACAGGTAAAATTTTTATTTTAGAGTTCAATTGCTGTGTGATTCTGAATTATCCTTAATTTATGGACATGAGCGTAATATTAAGTGGCAAAATAGAGAGCGATTTTCTTTGCAATTTTCCATTTTCCTTTCTATATAGGGTGTTGAACTATTATTTTTTGTCTGTTACTATTTATTCAAAAAAAATTTAATTATTCCAACGAAATAGTTTAATAAAAAGAAATCGTATCCTTAGAAATTAGGCCTTCCCAGATGGGATTCGAATCCACAACCTTTGGATTAGAAGTCCAACGCGCTATCCACAACGCTACAGGGACACAACGAACGAATTTCCTTTTTATATGTGGTGTTGGACTATTATTTTTTGTTACTATTTATTCATTAAGTAAACTTAATTAATGAATTTTAAAAAAAACTGTATTAGCATCAAGTCCCATCCACTACAAGTTTTGAAAAATGTATCTGAACTCCAGTGGATGAATAAAAAGTATTGCATTAACAATTGAAAATTTGAACAATATACGTATATATATATATATATAGAGAGAGAGAGAGAGAAAGAGAGACTGTGAACTAATAGTAGGAATTGAAAAAAGACAACGCAAAGAAAACTATCAGATTATTTTCCAAAAATTCAACAAATGTTCTGTTTTTAAGAAAACTTGAAAAATTTTGTTTTAAATTTCATTAAGTTCTTGTGAATGAATGCTGTTTTATAGATTTTTATTAAATACAAGCATATATACATATCTATGTGAATAAAATGTACTCTAATAAACTTAAATTCGCTGAATATATGTTTTGTAAGTATCTTTTAACACAAAATTCTTTTAGTACGAAAAATTATTTCGGTTCTATTAAGCAATTTTCACTGTATGTATTTTTTTTTATCTTGTAACACTTTTAAGTAAACATTCTTTTAAGTTCTAAAGAGAGAGAAAAGCCGAAATATTTTTTCGTATCAGCATTCACAATGTGAAAAGCAACAATACTTAGAATTTGCTTCAGCTTATTTCTTCAGGTTTAGTTTTTAGATGACAACCTACATTTAACGAGCTGAAACTACTGAACATTGTAGAGATTCTAACGATCCAGCATTGGAACATGCTATTTAATTTACGAACAGTCAAAATTTTCTGGATACTCTGTATTTGTATGTGCGATGTGAATCAAAGAGAGAATCACTTTCTTAAGTAGTTTCCAACTATCTCTTTCCGATCGATGCTCTTCGAATAGTTAGTTAGAAACCTTTTCACGATCATATGTAATATAGTTATACTAAGACCTCTTTATGTAACTAATACTAATGTTGATTCTACCATGTCTTATATCTATCACGTTCAATATATACTTCTTATATTGAGAGGATTTAAAGGAAATGGGGACTACTATGACTACTATGATACTGATCGACAAAAACATATCCTACGATGTGACAATTCCAGTCGTCATTATGTTGCAAATTAACTGAAATAATACTGCAACTTTTACAATGAATCTTATCAGGTAATTAGATTTGATTTTTTACAACTGAGCGTGGGAAGCCATTTATGCCCGAATATCAGCCAGTCCGCGCATAAATTGGGAATGTGTTTTTCAAAAATGTACCCCAAATTCAAAACCTGTACTTAAACCGAATTGAGAAAAATCCCTATAATTTGCAAACATGCCACTTCGAAGTCCAAAAATGTTGTTAAAGGAAGGGAATATTTTCCATTTAAATTGCTGTAAGATAAAACGCCATATACCCACGATGACAGTTTTATTTCTGATAGCCCTCTCTGAAGTGGCACATTTTTTTCCATTCTTTTATCTTGGACACTCACTGTCTGTGTAATTCATGCTTTTTGCGCCATTTTTTTTATAAAATGAGCCAGAAGAGGAATTCGCATGCAGCGAGCAATCTTCCATTCACGTTTCCTGTCTTAGAGGAAACACTCGCAGCTTAAATGATCATATACAGTCGTATTCTAAAATCACGGGACAAACTTTGAGGGGTAATAGAGCTCGCCAAAACGTACAATTTTTGTTTTAGACTATATGGGCTGAAGTGCCGCATTATGTGCGGCACAAACATAAATAATAACACATTAACGAAACATAAAATGTCCATTATCTGCATATTTAAGAAGCGATTTCGTAAAAAAAAAAAAAATTATAAACTGTTTTACAAATTGCCTCCACCAAGCGTCAGAAATGCTTGGTGACCTTTATGGTGTCATTGGCAGGCAATATTGACAATAGTTGAAAACATAAAAGCGTTGTGCTGCTGCACCACCAAAATAGGCATCTGTGCGTGTGATTTTGGTCGTTATGGCTGATTTTACTAACAGCGTAAAGGCGGACATGCATCTAATGTACTGTCTGTTAACGTTAATGGCAGAGCAACACTACAGACGCAAGCCAAACCACAAAATATTTCAGGGATTACATCAACAGTTGTGTGAAAATGATTCGTTTATCACCAGTGCTGATGGAAGGGGTAGATCGAGGACTGTTCTGTTGCGACACATCAGTCGCGGGTGAGAGGTTTCAAAGAAGAAACAGGTAAGATTCAAAATTCACTAATTTTAATCAATTTTTAACAGTTATGGGAATGCACTCTGATAACTAAACCCGAAGAGCAATAAAAATTATTAATTCTAATAAATAAATGGAAGCATTTATCTAGGTTATGATCTGGTACGATCCTGCATCCAACTTGCTAACTCATCAGCCGTTAAGTGGACGTTTCCAACTGTTCTATGTATTCTTCCTTTGGATTTAATATTACGAAGGATACCGATTGCTCACATTAGGCTTTCCGCTAAGGATCAACTCTCAACAATTACCTCGCCTGCTCAATGGCTGGCACTTAAACAAAAGTATTTGCATAAAATCAAGTCCTATCTAAGGAAAGTGGTTTTCAAACTAAAGTCACAGTCGCAAAGAGTATTTTCCCCAAGAGGATTAGTACAAGCCCGAATAGAACTCGTTACAGCACGACAAACACACCAGGAAGAAATCCTCTTGGAACATGTGGAAGAAACACCCGGCGCTCGTACAAGGGTTGTAGCATACATTCCAGTATGCATGCTAGTCAACCAACCGTATACTATAGCCGTGCAAGGGTTGTTAGCAACATGCTTGTTAAGTATGTTGCTAATAATCATTTTATGTTTCCGTTAATGTTAACCATAATTTTTTCTGCTTGTACCTCAACGCTGTACTTTCGCCCATATATTTCTAAATAAAAATTGTTTATTTTAGGGATCACTACTGTCCCATAATTTTAGAATCACCTTGTATATTCAGACATACCAATAAGTATGTTTGAATTTTACGAATTACTCAAAAACCTAATTCAAACACTTATTTTGAAGGATTAGTCTGATTTTTTTCTTCTAGAATAAAAGCTCCATTCAAAACACCCAAAAAGCTAAAAGATTAATACTGCTTTCAGATGGCAATCAAAAAATTGTTTTTTCTTGAACTACATTATTCCCCAAGATTAGCAAATCCCTACACTGGCCGACCCACTTAAATTCCTCTTTAAAAATTTCCAAAAATTCTCGGCTTGTAATCGGAAATATGCTGTATTTATTTCACATTAGAATATATATTGTATTTAAATACAAGATAATAATATAAGTATTTATATATATAAATAAAAAAAGTAAAAGAGGAAAATAGAGGTATCTAAACGAATAAAGACTATATGTTACAAGAAAATTATTATTATTTTTATTAAAAACTCTTTCATGCAACATACACAGGAATATGCAAATTTTTGTTAAGTTTTCTAGAACGTCAACACTTTTGAAACTAGCTTTTATACATTTAAAAAAAAAACAGATTGAGTGATGAGAGTGATTAAATATTGAATAAGAATAAGAAAAATTTAATTCCAATAATAGAACTTTACATACTTACTCAAGAAAATGCTTTTCTGTCTTTATTTTATGAAAATGAATTGCAACAAACTGAAGCTCTTAATGTATTATAAGGGTACTTCATTTTGATTCATTTAAAGCTAAGAGGTTTACGGAGTTTATAAAAAAACAGCATGTTTCGCCCTTCTAATGTAGAAAAATTTGAAGAACAATTCAGTCGTTCAAGTTTGACTGCTCAGAAACTAAATTAAAACCTCTACTTTTTCTTAAGGTTGTTTTGAGTTACGAATTGTTAAGAAGTATACAAACTAACAACTGATATTGTTCGTTATGAGCTGAGTTCTTATTGCTTTAACTTGTTACTTTTATCACAGCTTTCTGCAAGCAGTTAGCATTATTAGATAATAAAAGAGCTTATTAAGAAAAGGAATTAACTTATGAATATAAATCCAAATGAAAACAAATAATTTGAAAAATAATATATTATCGTATTAAATTACTGTAGGTTCTCGAAGCGTCTGGACCAATATCAGAAAAATGGCTGCACTTATGAAGTATTCAAGAGTAGAAATAACAAATGTTAATAGAGAGTAAATTATTAAACAGAAAACCGGGCCTTGCGCGTGGTCGTCACAGACTACTGAAAGTTCGATCAGAAAGGACACTTGCGAAAGTTTTCCAATCGGACAAATAAGTAACCGTACTTCAAAAGTCTAACATAATCAAGGGGTCTCTGAGCGAACCTCACATTTATACATCCTTGGCTCGGGTAGCCGATGACATGTGTTTGAAAGCCTCTTCCGTTTGCCTTGAACAAGAACAGACATCTCCAGTTCTCAAAGCAGCTCAAGGATTGGAGTGTAGAAAACTGGAAAATGTTCATATGTCAGATGAATCATGTTTTCATTGACACCATGTATCGTAAAAGCCATGTAATGTAAGAATGAGAACCATCTACATTGGCACGCTTCTTCAAACTACTGGAAACAATACTAAGGTTTGAGGATGTTTTCCTGGAATTGCATGGATCCCCTTTGATTCATGTGAAAGAATGTGTGAATACACAAAGGGAATTAAGAGTTATAATAGATCAAGTACATTCTTTTATAATAGAGTACCCTACCAGAGTTGGATATATTCAGCAGGACAATACTCGCTGTAATACAGCTGGTATTGGCCCCAGATTGTTCAAGGAGCGTGACAAAAACTTTATCTTGCTTAGTTGGTCTCCACAAACACCAGATCTCAATCCAATTGAGAATACGTGGGATGAGATCAAAAAGAACATATGGAAGCTGGATCCATTACCATCTAGTCTGAAAGCCTTGCAAAGTGCAATTCATCGTATATATATGGTCTCAAATTAATTGTGTGTGTGCGTGCGTGGTGCGTGCGTGTGTGTGTGTGTGGTGTGTGTGTGTGTGTGTGTGTGTGTGTGTGTGTGT